GGCAGGACATACTGAAAGTGATGAAGGAGAAAAACCTGCAACCAAGACTACTCTACCCAGCAAGGATCTCATTCAGATTTGATGGAGAAATTAAAACCTTCACAGACAAGCAAAAGCTGAGAGAGTTCAGCACCACCAAACCAGCTTTACAACAAATGCTAAAGGAACTTCTATAGACAAGAAACACAAGAGAAGGAAAAGACCTATAAAAACGAACCAAAAACAGTTCAGAAAATGGGAATAGAAACATACATATCGACAATTACCTTAAATGTAAATGGACTAAATGCTCCCACCAAAAGACACAGATTGGCTGAATGGATACAAAAACAAGACCCTTATATATGCTGTCTACAAGAGACCCACTTCAGACCTAGAGACACATACAGACTGAAAGTAAGGGGATGGAAAAAGATATTCCATGCAAATGGAAACCAAAAGAAAGCTGGAGTAGCAATTCTCGTATCAGACAAAATAGACTTTAAAATAAGGACTATTAGAAGAGACAAAGAAGGACACTACATAATGATCAAGGGATCGATCCAAGAAGAAGATATAACAATTGTAAATATTTATGCACCCAACACAGGAGAACCTCAATACCTAAGGCAAATACTAACAGCCATAAAAGGGGAAATCGACAGTAACACATTCATAGTAGGGGACTTTAACACCCCACTTTCACCCATGGACAGATCATCCAAAATGAAAATAAATAAGGAAACACAAGCTTTAAATGATACATTAAACAAGATGGACTTAATTGATATTTATAGGACATTCCATCCAAAAACAACAGAATACACATTTTTCTCAGGTGCTCGTGGAACATTCTCCAGGATAGATCATATCTTGGGTCACAAATCAAGCCTTGGTAAATTTAAGAAAACTGAAATTGTATCAAGTATCTTTTCTGACCACAACGCTATGAGACTAGATATCAATTACAGGAAAAGATCTGTAAAAAGTACAAACACATGGAGGCTAAACAATACACTACTTAATAACGAAGTGATCACTGAAGAAATCAAAGAGGAAATCAAAAAATGCCTAGAAACAAATGACAATGGAGACACGACGACTCAAAATCTATGGGATGCAGCAAAAGCAGTTCTAAGAGGGAAGTTTATAGCAATACAATCCTACCTTAAGAAACAGGAAACATCTCGAATAAACAACCTAACCTTGCACCTAAAGCAATTAGAGAAAGAAGAACAAAAAAACCCCAAAGTTAGCAGAAGGAAAGAAATCATAAAAATCAGATCAGAAATAAATGAAAAAGAAATGAAGGAAACGATAGCGAAGATCAATAAAACTAAAAGCTAGTTCTTTGAGAGGATAAACAAAATTGATAAACCATTAGCCAGACTCATCAAGAAAAAAAGGGAGAAGACTCAAATCAATAGAATTAGAAATGAAAAAGGAGAGGTAACAACTGACACTGCAGAAATATAAAAGATCATGAGAGATTACTACAAGCAACTCTATGCCAATAAAATGGACAACCTGGAAGAAATGGACAAATTCTTAGAAAGGCACAACCTGCCAAGACTGAATCAGGAAGAAATAGAAAATATGAACAGACCAATCACAAGCACTGAAATTGAAACTGTGATTAAAAATCTTCCAACAAGCAAAAGCCCAGGACCAGATGGCTTCACAGGCGAATTCTATCAAACATTTAGAGAAGAACTATCCCCTATCCTTCTCAAACTCTTCCAAAATATAGCAGAGGAGGAACACTCCCCAACTCATTCTACAAGGCCACCATCACCCTGATACCAAAACCAGACAAGGATGTCACAAAGAAAGAAAACTACAGGCCAATATCACTGATGAACATAGATGCAAAAATCCTCAACAAAATACTAGCAAACAGAATCCAACAGCACATTAAAAGGATCATACACCATGATCAAGTGGGGTTTATTCCAGGAATGCAAGGATTCTTCAATATATGCAAATCTATCAATGTGATAAACCATATTAACAGATTGAAGGAGAAAAACCATATGATCATCTCAATAGATGCAGAGAAAACTTTTAACAAAATTCAACACCCATTTATGATAAAAACCCTGCAGAAAGTAGGCATAGAGGGACTTTCCTCAACATAATAAAGGCCATATATGACAAGCCCACAGCCAACATCATCCTCAATGGTGAAAAACTGAAAGCATTTCCACTAAGATCAGGAACAAGACAAGGTTGCCCACTCTCACCACTCTTATTCAACATAGTTTTGGGAAGTTTTAGCCCCAGCAATCAGAGAAGAAAAGGAAATAAAAGGAATCCAAATCGGAAAAGAAGAAGTAAAGCTGTCACTATTTGCAGATGACATGATACTATACATAGAGAATCCCAAAGATGCTACCAGAAAACTACTAGAGCTAATCAATGAATTTGGTAAAGTAACAGGATACAAAATTAATGCACAGAAATCTCTGGCGTTCCTATATACTAATGATGAAAAATCTGAAATTGAAATCAAGAAAACACTCCCATTTACCATTGCAACAAAAAGAATAAAATATCTAGGAATAAACCTACCTAAGGAGACAAAAGACCTGTATGCAGAAAATTATAAGACACTGATGAAAGAAATTAAAGATGATACAAATAGATGGAGAGATATACCATGTTCTTGGATTGGAAGAATCAACATTGTGAAAATGACTCTACTACCCAAAGCAATCTACAGATTCAATGCAATCCCTATCAAACTACCACTGGCATTTTTCACAGAAGAAGAACAAAAAATTTCGCAATTGGTATGGAAACACAAAAGACCCTGAATAGCCAAAGCAATCTTGAGAACGAAAAACGGAGCTAGAGGAATCAGGCTCCCTGACTTCAGACTATACTACAAAGCTACAGTAATCAAGACAGTATGGTACTGGCACAAAAACAGAAAGATAGATCAATGGAACAGGATAGAAAGCCCAGAGATAAACCCACACACATATGGACACCTTATCTTTGATAAAGCTGGCAGGAATGTACAGTGGAGAAAGGACAGCCTCTTCAATAAGTGGTGCTGGGGAAAATGGACAGATACATGTAAAAGTATGAGATTAGATCACTCCCTAACACCATACACAAAAATAAGCTCAAAATGGATTAAAGACCTAAATGTAAGACCAGAAACTATCAAACTCTTAGAGGAAAACATAGGCAGAACACTCTATGACATAAATCACAGCAAGATCCTTTCTGACCCACCTCCTAGAGTAATGGAAATAAAAACAAAAATAAACAAATAAGACCTAATGAAACTTCAAAGCTTTTGCACAGCAAAGGAAACCATAAACAAGACCAAAAGACAACCCTCAGAATGGGAGAAAATATTTGCAAATGAAGCAACTGACAAAGGATTAATCTCCAAAATTTATAAGCAGCTCATGCAGCTCAATAACAAAAAAACAAACAACCCAATCCAAAAATGGGCAGAAGACCTAAATAGACATTTCTGCAAAGGAGATATACAGACTGCCAACAAACACATGAAAGAATGCTCAACATCATTAATCATTAGAGAAATGCAAATCAAAACTACAATGAGATATCATCTCACACCAGTCAGAATGGCCATCATCAAAAAATCTAGAAACAATAAATGCTGGAGAGGGTGTGGAGAAAAGGGAACACTCTTGCACTGCTGGTGGGAATGTGAATTGGTTCAGCCACTATGGAGAACAGTATGGAGGTTCCTTAAAAAACTACAAATAGAACTACCAGATGACCCAGCAATCCCACTACTGGGCATATACCCTGAGAAAACCAAAATTCAAAAAGAGTCATGTACCAAAATGTTCATTGCAGCTCTATTTACAATAGCCCGGAGATGGAAACAACCTAAGTGCCCATCATCGGATGAATGGATAAAGAAGATGTGACACATATATACAATGGAATATTACTCAGCCATAAAAAGAAACGAAATTGAGCTATTTGTAATGAGGTGGATAGACCTAGAGTCTGTCATACAGAGCGAAGTAAGTCAGAAAGAAAAAGACAAATACCATATGCTAACACATATATATGGAATTGAAGAAGAAAAAAAAAATGTCATGAAGAACCTAGCGGTAAGACAGGAATAAAGACACAGACCTACTGGAGAACGGACTTGAGGATATGGGGAGGGGGAAGGGTGAGCTGTGTGTGACAGGGCGAGAGAGAGTCATGGACATACACACACTAACAAACGTAAGGTAGATAGCTGGTGGGAAGCAGCCGCATGGCACAGGGATATCGGCTCGGTGCTTTGTGACCGCCTGGAGGGGTGGGATAGGGAGGGTGGGAGGGAGGGAGACGCAAGAGGGAAGAGATATGGGAACATGTGTATGTGTATGACTGATTCACTTTGTTATAAAGCAGAAACTAACACACCATTGTAAAGCAATTATACCCCAATAAAGATGTTAAAAAAAAAAAAAGGCTGAGTTTTACAGCATGTAAGTTATATATCAACAATAACTATATATATATATAAAATATGTGAATTTTTCTGAGTCAAAATTCCTTACAAGCAGAACAAATATCTCTTAGAATGGCTAAATTCTTAAGAATTTTTAAAATAAAATTTAAGCTTGAAGCCAATAAAATTCGTTATTTCAAAAACAACGTACAGAGGGCTTCCCTGGTGGCGCCGTGGTTGAGAGTCCACCTGCCGATGCAGGGGACACGGGTTCGTGCCCCGGTCCGGGAAGATCCCATGTGCTGCGAAGCGGCTGGGCCCGTGAACCATGGCCGCTGAGCCTGCGCGTCCAGAGCCTGTGCTCCGCAACGGGAGAGGCCACAGCAGTGAGAGGCCCACGTACCGCAAAAAAACCCCAAAAAACGTACAGAAAGTCTCAGGGATATTTTCACTACAGCAGAACCTGCTGGGAGTCTGCAAATCAATTATGACTGGTGTATAGAAAACTTTATTGCCTACTACAGGACTACAAAAATGTAAGCAAACCATTCTCTTTCAAAATCAGCCTTGAAACAGTACTTACCAAGTACACTGCTCTTTGAAAGAAGGTTGTAGTCTCCAGGATTTTGTGCATTGTGATGGTTTCCAACTCATCAGGGTCCAGCTGCTCCTTTTCAAAGGGCATTCCATTGAACAGGACAACAGGCAGTGGACCAACTCCAGTCTGCTCATAGTAGCCTCTTGCTTCCTGAAACACATGGGACCACAAACAGCATATTTTTGTCCTTCCTGAGACAAATGGAACAAAGCATATTTTTCACACATACATGTTCTAACAAGAAAAGAAACAACAGAAATATGGAAACCAAGAAATAACTAAAGAAAAATTCTTTTAAAAATATATAAAGAACTGGGGCTTCCCTGGTGGCGCAGTGGTTGAGAGTCCGCCTGCCGATGCAGGGGACATGGGTTCGTGCCCCAAGGCCGGGAAGATCCCACATGTCGCAGAGCAGCTGGGCCCATGAGCCATGGCCGCTGAGCCTGCGTGTCCGGAGCCTGTGCTCCGCAACGGAAGAGGCCACAACAGTGAGAGGCCCGCGTACCGCAAAAAAAAAAAAAAAAAATTTACTGAGTTTTAATAAAACCACAAAACCTTATAAATCAGGAAGTGGTTGAAGATGGGGATGAGGGTAATTTTAAGCAGCCCAGGCTACCAGACCTGAATTACATATACTACAGCCCAAATTATACAAGAGACTTTTGAGCAATGATGGAGATATTCTATCTTCACTGTCCAATGCAGTAACCACTAACCACATGTAGCTATTGAGCACATGAAATTAATTAATTTCCACTTTAAAAGCTCATGTGGCCAGAGGCTACTATAATGGGCAGCACAACTATAGACTGTCATAAATTATTAGTGCTCCTGGGCAGATAACTTGAGATGAAATATTTACACCCAATTCTAAATTTAAAAGGGTCCATATCACTAAACAAAAAGTTACACCTACAGAAAACAAAACAAGGTTGGTGGGAAAACAGTGCTCAAAAATTGTTCTATAATGTACTGAGCTCAATCTTTTGCCTTCTCCAGGACAAAAGAGGTTCCTTGGCAGGGAAGTACCAGGCAAGCAAACATATCTGAGACTTTTCCAACAATCGACATAGGTACATTCCCCCAGATATCAACCACAGACCCAAGACTAAGATTTTAGAGTAAAAACTATATTAGTACCCAAGATATAAAAAAAGCTCCTTAAAGCATTCTTGTTAAACATCTTGTAACTGCTATCTTCTGAAAATAGCAGAATTTTAAAATATATAACCATTTTAGATAGCACAAATAGAAAAGTACCTCAATTCGGTAACTAATACCAGTCATCAGCTTAGTTTCAGATCTAGCCACAGTGATAACTGATAGTACAGACTTATCTGATGGACTAACATGGCACAATGAGAAAGGCCTTCCAGGTTGACTTCTGCCATCTCTGTATATCATGGTTAAAACTTTTAAAAGGTACACTCCCAAAACTGTTACATTAATTCTGTTCTTTGACATCTCACCTATCTCAAAGAAGTTCATAAAAACTCAATTTAAATATACTTTGAGCTTTGAAAATCAATCTCCCAGGAAAACAAAACAAAATCCACATTATAACTCTCAGTGACTATAAGAAGTAATACTGGTTTTCTCTGAACATGGCAACTGAGTAAAAGGCACGAGTGGGAGGGAGATGTTTTGACTATAAACGTTCCATTTTTGCAACTTGCAAATAGATTATCAGACTAAAAATTAACAGAATGCAGGCCAATTATCAGAGTCACGCTTAAAAATTACACGTGAGAATTTCTACCAACTGATCACTAAAAATGTTAATTACACATAATTTTGAAACACTGACTACAAAGTCACGAATGAGCCATTCATAAATGATAACTGAGATTAATAAAGACTCAGAGTTAATACGCCAAATGTAAAATGTCTGCATGAATAAGTTAGAACTTTTCTTACTTTGACTTTGAAACATATAAATATGCACCTATCAGACTATATTCTCTTCAGTTCAAAAGATCTACTTTAATTGTACTACGTAGTTTTAGAAATGATTACTTCTTTCAAATACCAGGCATAGAAGATAACACAGCTTCAGATTTACACAAAGGTACAGATATTCCTAAGTGTAATAACATTTGCTAACTGCACTCATTCCTCCTTTAAAAAAAAACTGCACTCGGGCTTCCCTGGTGGCGCAGTGGATAAGAATCTGCCTGCCAATGCAGGGGACACAGGTTCGATCCCTGGTCCGGGAAGATCCCACATGTCGCGGAGCAACTAAGCCCGTGCGCCACAACTACTGAGCCTGCGCTCTAGAACCCGCGAGCCACAACTACTGAGCCCGTGTGCCACAACTACTGAAGCCCATGTGCCTAGAGCCCGTGCTCCTCAACAAGAGAAGCCACCGCAATGAGAAGCCTGCGCACGGCAACGAAGAGTAGCCCCCTCTCACTGCAACTAGAGAAAGCCTGTGCGTAGCAATGAAGACCCAACACAGCCAAAAATAAATTAATTTTTTTAAAAAATGCAGTCATTCCTCCTTTTCAAAAAAATCTATTTTTCTTGGGCTTTTTCATATGAGGGGTACAGCTCCTGCAAATTAAAAAATCTTACTGATCATTAGATTCTTAGGACCTCTGAGAATCTCTCAACATCCTTCTCTTGAGAGTATATGCCTACTTAAATAGCTAGGTAACTACGATCTGTTTATATGGGAAGGGCCTCTAACCAGTAGAGATGAGGAAAATGGCCAAATCTGGGAAACTATTGAGGAGTCAGGTCTGTGATACTCCCACCTGATTCTTCAGCAAAATCAAGATTTTAATGCAGAAAAGACAACGTGTAAAAATACCCTTTTCCCCAATTCGTCCACTATAGTCAATGTTTTTCAGGCAAATCCTTTTGATATAGCAATCATCCACAATAAAAAAAGCAACATGTACTTTTTCTTCAATAGGATGATAGAAAACCAGAGTTAAACATTTTCCAAAAGTGAAATATAAGAAAATTCCATTAATTTTCTCAAAGATTCCCGAAGTGGCCCTTCTTTCCTTTTATTTCACCTTTTCTTTTTCTACAGAGTACTACTCAGGCTGTTTGTGAAAATGTGAAAAATCACTACGTGCCCATATCAATATTATTTTATTTTTTTAAAAAAAAGGTAAGTGGCTGAACAGAAGGTTGCAGTACAATAATGGAAACATGTTCAGTCTAAACTGAGTAGCTCTCATGACCAGCTTCAACTCCAAACCTTAAAACAAGGAGATTTAACACTGAGGCAGGAGTGATGTCAGTATCATGGCTGAATAAGACTTCCCTCATTAGTGTCTCCCCCACAGAAAAACAACAACTTGGCATCTATCCACTGACAAAAGGGTCTTTGTGGGAGCTTTGGAATTCAGCACCATATGCCAAGTGGCCCGGGAGAAGTGTTGCAGCAGGTAACATGCAGACGGACTTTGACCCTGGCTGTGGGCTCTGCACTGATGCATGAGCTGGCTCCAGGGAGCCCCTGGGAAAAACTATCTTAATCAATCACCCATAGACAAGACAGCCTCTGTGAAGTCCAGGTTTCCAGCAAGAAGTTCCAGGACACCACCGGAGCAAAAAAATATGAATCTGGACACACTGGAGAGGGTAAGAGAACAGTCTGACTTTACTCACATCACCCCTCTCCCGAGGCAGTACAGCTTAGGGCCACAAGAGATCTTCTGAGCCTATGATTTCTCCTACAAGGGACATAAGAGCAATGGCTGAGCACTCAACCTCCCCAGCTATGTGGGATGCTGCCCAAGAGGCTCATTTCTCTCCCGCTCCATCCAGAATACTGACTTGTGAGTGGCATCACCATGGGTGAAGAGGCTGGGAGAGCAGCACACAGTGCACTCATAGGGCATTTAAGGAAGGCAGATCCTACTTACGGCATCAACAAGCCCACCTATGAGACACCCAGGACACCTCATCCACAGACGCCCCCAGATGACTCATGGGCACCCCGCAGTGCTCTGCACACACCTTACCACCATACACCCACACCCTGTGGCTGGCTGCCAGTGCACAGTCCTGACAAGGGCAGCAAGAGTGAGCTTCGCCAGATGGAGAGTGAGGACGTACAGAAAGCCAATCCACATCAGGAGGCCAGAAAGAGACAAACAACTTGAGCTTTAGTGCCACCGTGGGGAAAACAAAAAGGAGGTGGCCTGTCCGCACCCAGCCTGCGGGCAATGTAGAATCAAGAGGAGCTAAACAAACAAGTTCAGAATTCTGCACAAGAGGGAACAACAGCACGGAGCAGCTGTACCCACAGACATTCTGAGAAAGCCTCAGAATTCCAACCTTCCTGACATGGAAGGTATTTCTCTCCCAAAGCAGAGAGTAAAGACTGGCAGAAGTGACTGCTACCAGTCACTCCTGGTAGCAACTTAAAATTGCAAGGAACATGAAAAATCAAGAAAGCATAACATCACCTAAGGATCGCAATAATCTTCCAGTAACCAATCCCGAAGACATGGAGATCTGCGATTTACCCAATGAAGAATTCAAAATAGCTGTTTTGGGGAGACTCGGTGAGCTACAAGAAGACACAGAAGGACAATTCAACAAAATCAGGAAAACAATACACAAACAAAATCAGAATTTTTTTTTTTTTAACAAGAAATCAGAATTTTAACAAAGAGAGAGAGCATAAAAAAGAACCAAACAGAAATTCTGGAGCTGAAGAATATAATGAATGAAATTTTTAAAATGGTATAGCATTAACATCAGAGTGAAATCAAGCAAAAGAAAATAACCTACAAGTTAGAAGACAGGAACTTTGCAATTATCCAGTCAGGGGACAACAATAACAACAACAGCAACCGAAGAATTAAAGAAATGGTATATGGATGATTTTCAAATTACTGGAGTTCCAGAGAAGATGAGATAGAGAAGGGGGCAGAAAGCTTATTTAAAGAAATAATGGATAAGAACTTCCCAAATCTGGAGAGATTTGGATATCCAAGTTCCTGAAGATCATAGGTCACCAAAGAAAATAAATTTGAAGAGAACCTCTCCAAGACACATTATAATAAAACTATCAAAAGTCAAAAACAGACACTCTTAAGAGCAGCAAGAGAAGAAGAAGCTTGTAACTTACGAGGGAAGGCTAACAGTGGACGTCTCAGTAAAAAAGTTGCAGGCAAGGAGTGAGT